ATGAGGAAAACAGATGGGAAGAGCAATTATAAAGTGAGCAGTGTGATACTACCAGCTGACTACTCACAGTTTTACTGGCAAACAGATTAGATAACAGAAAGAAAAAAGAGGTAGGCTGGTAATTAGCAAATGTGGTACTTTGTGTCAATGAGTCAGAGAGACAATGTCAATGAGTTTAGAAAATCATTAACGGATGAATGCACCAAGAACGGGGGAGTGGTGAAATAGTTAGAGTAATGATGTAAGAAGTTTATAGATGAAAAAAGTGAGTTAGACATTGGCAACAGGCGGAGAAGACTGGAAGTGAATAAAGCCATTCATCTACACTTCTGGATGAAGTTTCATGTGTTATGTATAAGAGAACTTTATGATTAGATAAGTAGACAAAAAGGGTCTCACTAAGGGAAATGGAATAAAAGAAAGCATACCAGGAAAAACGTCTTCACTCTGAAGCGTATTATATTCTAGAATACTCTCTCAGGGGAAGCGGGCTCAAACCACAGAGAGAGCAAAGCGTTCAAGATTTTACAAAACAAAATAGTTCATTGGCAAAAGGTGAAGGAGCTCAGCAAATTCAACTTGTTGAAAAGGCACTTAAGAGGGGACACGATAGCAAACTTCAAATACCTGAAGGGCTCCCAGAAGGAAGAGGGAAAGCACCTTTTCTCTCATGCTGCAGAGAGGTGGGTGCAGACCAATGGCTTGAAGTTGCAGCAAAGTATAGATCTGATATCCAAAAAAAACTTCTTCACTGTGAGAATAGTGAGGTAGTTGGAACAGACTGCCTAGGTAAGCTGTGGACTCTCTATCACTGGAGGCGTTCACAAAGAAGGTGCACAGCCACTGGTCGGGGATGATCTAAACAGAGTTATGCCTACTTTCTACCATGGATATTTCCCATGATTCTGGGCTTTGCTAGTTGCTTCTGCTCCGCCTGTTCTTTATTTAGGCCTGTGCAAAGCAGCAAGTATTCAATTCAGATTTGGCCGATTTGAGGGACAGTGATTCAATTTGGTGATTTGAATCACTGTCCTGATTTGATTTGGCCGATTCGGATTCAGAGATCTGGCTGCCGAATTGGCTACTGAAGCTTCGGACAGCCTTAACAGATAGGGATATGTTCCCAGGTGGTGAGGGAAGAAGGAAGCGAGGCTGGGACTAGGGAAGAGGTCCCATCCCCACTCACCCCAGCTCCTGAGCTGCACTGTGCCATGGTGCAGGCAGCTGGTGTCAGCTGCTGCCAAGGCCGCTGCAGCAGGGGATGGGGGGAATGGCAGCAAGTGGAGCCCTGGGCAGCACAGGAGGCAGCGCAGCTTGTCCGCACTCACCCTAGCCCCCGCTGCAGCAGCCCCGGGAGCGACCAGCATCAGCTGCAACGAGAACTATCAGTGGATACGTGAGGTGGGCGGGGCACGCCTCTTGCTGCTCCAAGCCCTCTGGGAGGGCTGGGGGCTGTGTCGGGCTCTTCCCAGGGCATGTGCCCCAGTATCTGTGCACGGGATGACAGCAGACTGGCAGCACCAGGCTAATTCTTCCTGGCGCTCAGGGTGGGTACACCAAGCGCTCAGAACAGCCCAGTGCCCCTGGATTTGGATGCAGGATGACAGCAGGCTACCGCTGCAGGCTAGAGCCACCCGGGGCTCCACTTGCTGCCACTCCCCCCAGCCCCTTCTGCAGTGGCCCTGGGAGCAGCTGACGCGAGCAGCCTGCACCACAGCACAGTGCAGCCCAGAACATTTACATAAGTGGGTTCACTTTATGCAAGGGAAATCTGTGTAGCCGATTGCTGAATCTCCGAATTGGCCCCGAATCTCTCCAAATTGATTCAGAGGCTTCCAATTAGATTCAGACCTCTTAATAAGTCACCCAATTTCAGAGATTCAGCCGCCGAATTGGGCCAAATCTCCTCCGAATCGAATTGGCTACTGAAGCTTTGCACTGCCTATTGCTCTTCCCTTAATCCCCTTTTCTGCTGTGCGCCAGGGTGTTTTAAGCCTCCCCAGAAGCACTGGGTGCTGGCTACAGCTAAGGCTAGGGACTTCAACTGGGGTGTGTCGATTCTTCTGCTAGGAACAAAGGCAGAGGTTCCGGGCTAGCATCATTCCCTCTAAGCTGTGTGGCCATGCAGGCATCTTAGAAGGAATGCTGCTGGCTAGAGGATCTTGTCCCTCTGCTCAGGGTCAGAGTGATCACCATATTTAGGGCCAGGAAGGAAGCTTACCCCATGGTCAGACTGGTATGGATTGCGGGGGTTTCTGCTTCCCTCTATAGCATTAGGTGTGGCCCTCTACCTGGGACATCTTGAGTATGTATTTACAACCATTTTATAGAAACAGGACATTAGATACCATGTTTCCCCTACTTTACCTGTCCTTGGTTAGGGTGTTAGGTCAATGTCGTATCAGGGTTGAGAGTAGTCTTATGTAGGGTTTAGATCAGTGGTCTCCAACCTTTTTAAGTACGAGATCACTTTTTTAATTGAAGTCCAACCCAGGGTCTACTAGGCATCAGTGCCACCCCTCCCCCCAGCCCTCCCCCAGCATGTCAGGCTCCTGCAGTGGGAGAGTGGGGCAGGGGCGAGTGGGAGGAACAGAGTCTGGGTGGCTTGTCCAGGTGTGAAGGGGGCTCCCGCCACTGCATGCACCCAGGCAGAGGCCCTGGGGGCCTGTGACTCCTCCCACCTGTACTTGGGGCACAAAGGATAGTGCACAGCAGCAAGACATCCCTCATTACACTCAAGGTACCCTTTGAAAAATGCCAGTTCTTCTTTTTCAGTAGTTTTTTGACTCAGAAAGCCCAAAGCAGGTCAGAATGGTTTTAACACTATGGAACCCTATTTGAAATCTCTGAGTTTGTCTTGTGAATCATGTTTGCACACCGAACAGCGCTAACATTGTGTGGCATCCTGTGACACCCTTAAAAGGATCTCCAGGTACCCAAGGATGCTACAGCTCCCTGACTGAAAATCACAGCTAGAACAGGTGTTAAATGAAAGGAAGGGTAGTACCAGAAAAGAGCGATATTTTGGATGTACTTAATCAAGTGCTTTGTTGTTACTGAATTAATTATATAAGCTACAAAACTATAATACATACTATGCCAGCCCCATATATGCGCAGGGCAGAGTCAATTTTCACTGCATACTGCACCTCAAGCCCCACTGCAGCTGACCTGGCAGTGGCCCAATGCCACATGCAGCCCGCTGCTGAGCAGGAAGGGAGCAAGGCTCAGTCCAACGGTAGAACGCATATGGCATCAGGCCGCTTCCAGGCCAGCTGCAGCAGAGATTGAAGCGCAGCAGTGGGACTTGCGTGGGGTCTGGGACTACCCACTGGTCCAGAGGTGTCTGTGTGGGGGGGCTCCTGCCACTGGGTGTACCCTGGCAGCCCGTGCCCCCCAACCTGTGCTCAGGGTGGAGGTGGATGCTGCTGCCTTCTGCACCTCGCACCCCACTGCAGCTGCCCATGTTCAGGCACAACTCAGCTCAGCAATGGCACTCACATGGGGTCAGGCCCTGGCTGGTCCAGAGATGCATGGTGGGGCTCCTGCCGCTGGGTGCAGGCTGGTGGAGGCCTCAAGGGCCTGTGCCTCCCCCCATCCCCATCTGTGCTCGGTGGGCAGGCTGCAGCAGCAGCCGCCTCCTTCCCAAGCACAGGTGGGGGGCACAGGTCCCCGGTGCCTCTGCTGTGCTGTGTTCAGTAGTGGGAGCCCCCGCACAATGTGCTCCTGGACAACCAGATCTTCAGAGACCTAGCTGGGCCAGGGCCAGACCCCACGGGAGTCCTGCTGCTATGCTGAGCCATGTCCACATGTGACTAGTTGCAGTGGGGCTTGAGGTGCAGCGGCAACTGCCTCTGCAGAGATGGGGGGCGGGGCACATTCCCTTTGGGCTTCTGCCATTGTGTGCCCAGCAGCCCAGGGGCCCCACTCACCTTCCTCCTGGCTGGGCCGCGCTGTCCATCCCTCACTGTGAGGGCCTCAATCTGGCCCCTGCCCCTTCCCTCCCCGACAGACTGACCTGCTGGGCTAGGGGTGGGGTGGGGTAGGGTGGGGAGGGGAGTATGTGGGTGCATGCATGCACACCCCTCCCCCCCCCCAGCCCAGGATTGGCCAAAAGAGTCTCTGCAATCAAACTGTCAGTCATGATGGACCAGTTGGGGACCACTGGTTTAGATTATGGTTGTAAGGGATTGTTTGCAGAGGGATGATACTGCCTCGGGCAGGGGGTTGGACAAGATGACCTCTGGAAGTCCCTTTGAGCACTACTTCTCTCTGACTATGAGAGAGTTAGACAAGGTAATAGGCAAGGTTCCACTCCTCCTCTCTTCCAATCTGCAATATTTTAGCAAAATGTCCCACAAACACATGCATAAAACTGGTCCAGATAGCCAGTTCTTCTCACGTTCTCTCACTTTCTTGCCATCTCTAAGTGCAGTCGTCCGAACTACAAATGGTTGTTTAAAGTACTCATTCTTATGAAAAATTAGAGTAACTTGCAATATTTAGAAAACTGGGACTGGCCCATTTCAGACAGATTTAAGAGGTCTAGCTGTTCCTGGACTTTGAGATGTAGGGGAAGTTGGAACTCCAGGAAGGGGTGGAATCTACCTCCTTCTTGCTAGGAGTAACCTCTCATTAAAGACAAACATTTCTAAGGTGATTTTAGTCCCCAGCCTTCCCCTGGACTCCCAAGTTCCAACAAAAAGGAAGGTTAGATCAGCAGCTCAGGCCACAGTTTCAAAAGAAAAGTATGATACTGGGCCAAAAGCACAAAGCATCAGAGAAATGGGTTCTAACAGTACAGTGGAATGGAAGATTGTAAGGCAGCTAGGAGGAGTGACATAACTTTATGGAATTAAGTAGAAACAGTGGGCTTCAACAGTGAAAGGACAGTATTTTCAATCAAAAGGGGTAAGAAAGGGTCTGAGCTGATGAGAAGCAGATGAATTTTTGGTTAACAACTTCAGAGAAAATCTGTGAAATCAAACCCCACAAAAAACTTTTGTCTTTAGAAAAATTATTAGACCAGGACAATCATTACATTCAAAATAATGAACATTTCTACAAAAAGTGTAGTGTAGTCAGCAGTAGACCAAAACTAGTATAAATATCTGTTGCAAGTATTTTCTTAATATCCAAGTGAAAAAGCTTGTAGCCAGAAGTCATAAAACAAGGATTCCACTCTAGGGGGCGAAGATGGTAGCTAGATTAAGTTTTATAACAGTTTAACAAACTCATATACAGTATAATACAGGTATGCAGTTGTGACCCATACACTGCTGTAGATGACCTTCATTTTGACTATTATACAAGCAAATCCCTTTAGTTATTGCTTTTTGGTATCTCTCAGAGGATCTGGCACTTAGGAAAACAAATTTCAACAACTGAACTTTACAAGTAATATGCAGCATCTCTGTCTCTTCAGATGGATTTAAAGTTAAAATGCAGGTTTGTTCATATATTCTTCCATTGTCTGCAAGAAAAAGCAATCAAGGTGTTACAGATTCATAAAGTACAACCAAAAGTCACTCTAATTCTGCTCCTGTTGAATATGATTGGATTTTGGTATGATGTACATATTACAACTGTTAATGGACTAATCCAAAAACCACTATACATGTAATTTGCTCTTTGCCTATCTAGCTGGCCATTAGTATATGTCATGAATGAAAACTAGCCTACACAGAAAAGGTGGCTAGAAAGAAGAGCTTATTCCTATGGTATTTCTCTGATTATTTGCCTCTGCCTTACCTCTTAACAAGTGAAAAAAGTCTATAGATTTCACTGCTGATCTAAGGTTTCTTATATTTCTATACCCATGGGCCACAATAAACTCATTTAACTATTTCTCTCGTACTAAGGTAATCTTGAAAGTGGAGTCACTCTATAACATTCACCATTTCTTACTATCCTTGGCTCACTTGGATAAATTACATGAAAAGATTCCTGCAGGTTTCTAAAGAAAGGTCCCATACTTACTCCTCATGGGAACAACAATAAAGTCTATTTATGGACAAAAATAGAGGTTTCCAGCACATACGTATTCTGATTTTAATATCAGTACAGTAAAAGCTGTGTTAACTGGCATTTTACTAACCAGAATATTCCATTAACTGGAATTTCCAATATCTCCCAATACAAATCTTCACTTTAGCAACCGGAAACTTTGCCGAGTCTATCCAGCATGCACATCAAGTATTTCTGTTGTTTACACTAGTTAGTGACGCTGCTGAAAGAGGAGGTGCCTGGAGTTTGCAGGGGAGGGGAAAGGGATCTGCATAGGGCAGGGTGGGCTAGGGCCAGTATAATTGTCAGATAACTGGAATTTTTAAGATAACCAGCACCCCCTCTTACCCCGCTCATGCCAGATAACAAAGCTTTTATTGTATATAGGTAGGGTGACCATACATCCTAGTTTGTCCAGGACAGTCCCAGATTTTGTAGGCTATCCCAGCAGGTTGGCAAAAATTCAAGCAGAAGAAGTCACAGGGTGCAGTCTGGCAGGGAGGCATGGTGGGCAGGCAGGCACTGCTGCTTCCTCCCATACTTGCCCAGTCTAGTTGCTCCTGAGCTAGGCTGGACTGGGTACTGCTCCTGCCTCAGGCAGGGATCAGCCAGGGCAGGGCAGGGTTGGGGGAGAGCACTGCTGTGAGCATGGGCTGCTCGCATGTATGCATGCGTGCCCCCCAAACACGGTTTCCTGGGCAGTTGCCCATGTCACCCACCCCCAAGGCTAGCACTGTGCAGCAGACATGCTCACCCTGCCAAATTCTTCTCAGTGTCAAGAGAGAGCATCCTTTTCCACTATAAAAACACTAAGAAAAGAATTTGGCAGGGTGAACTTGTCTGCTACAGTGCCAGCCTTAGAGGGATGGGCAACCAGCCAGGGCACCATGGTCAGGAGGCACCACACACACGAGCCACGTGCACTCACAAGAGTGCTCTCTCCCCACCCTGCCTTGGGCAGGAGGAGAAGTGCCCAGTGCAGCCTGCCCCCCAACCTCCAGCTGCTGGTCAGGAGGCAGGCTGGGTACATGAGAGCGGGATGTGGTGCCTGCTCCAGCAGTGCCTGCCCGCCTGGCATACCATGCTGCTCCACCTCACCACCAGACTGCAGCAGCACTGCTAACGTTGTGGGGTGCAAAGGAATACAGCATCTCAGATTTCCTTAAAAATATTATGGTCACCTTATTGATGAAAGAATAAAAAAAAAAGATGACAAAGATATTTTGGCATCTACCTTGGTGCCAAACAAATGTTTACATCATAAAACAAAGTCTTAATACAGGTTCTAATAATTAGTAAATATGAATTAATAACCACTATATTTCAAAGAAAGTAGTGGCAGCATATACATTTTTAATACCCAGTTAACAGAATGCAGTATGGTTGAATGAAAAAAGTTACAAAATGTTGCCACCTTTCTCAAATACATTGCTATACTGTGCGATACCCAATAATCAAATACTAAGGTGTTTTTCTACTGTGTTTTAAACTCCTGTCAAACAAGAAACCTGTGTGAAACTGAAGCATGCATCTTGTCTGCTGGTGCCTTACCTCTTGTAACATGTCAGAATCTTCTATAGCTTTTACTGCAGATTTCTTTGAAGTCTCTTGTATCTCTCCACCCAGAATAAATTCATCAAGAATAAAATAAGCCTTTTCAAAATTAAAGATAATATCCAGCTCACACACCTGGTGGAGCAAAATACATATTTAGGCAAAATTTTACAGCATTATGAATCAGATTGCTAAGAGCTGTTACACTGTCAAACCTATTTGAAATATGCACCATGTAGCAAAGAGTAACATTTAAAAAAAAACAAAAACCCTACACTACCCCCTCATCCCCAGAATACTAGGTATACATTTTCACCATTCACACAGAAAGAATTACTTCATTTGTGCAGACAACATAGATATTGGATGGGGGAGAGGTGGGGGAAAGAGAGAGAGAAAGAAAAAAAAAAAAAATCAACATTTATAACAAATGTTTTAAATACTTGTCTAGCACTGTAGTCACACTGTGCGTGTCACAGAGTAAGACACATTCCCTGTCCCAAAGACATTATAATCTCTGACAGACAAAACAAGGAGACAATGTAAAACATAGCTCAACGGTTAGTTACTTTTTGAATCATCCTTTAACTAGAGAGCAAATAGAAAATATTCACAGAAGTGGGCCTCCTGCAGGTCATATTTAAAAGAACTCAGCAAGAGAGAATTAAAAAAAATGCTGTTTTTAAATTCTTTTTTTTTTTTTCACTTTTTTCCCCAAACATCTATTAAATGTTACCTCTGGGAAGAGCTGCAGAAAACAAAATTGGTTTTTTTTGAGGAAGGGCTTATAATGGAAAGCTATCTCCTTATAATAGCCTTGGCACTATTTTTCTGTCTGATCCTGCTGATATACTTCACATGGGAGGCACATATGCAGTCAAAGGGGAAAGCAGGCGGATGGAAAGGTAGGACAAGAGCAGCTATAGATATTTGCATTCCTTGTTATATGACAAAGAACTAAAGTGAACAACATATCCTGAGTAACTGAAGAAAGAAAAAGAAACTTACATTTCCAAAATACCTATCCAGTAGCTCTACATAACGATGAACAACTTCTAGTGCCAGCAGCTCATTATCTCGGTCTTCTATTGCACAGCAAAAATATAAACTAGCATACCTACGAACACAGAAGGGAAAATAGGAAAGTGATTAATGTTGGCTTAGAAAATGATATTTAAGAGGTTTGTTCTTTGGGAATTGGCTTACAGGTATATGTATATGCATTAGAAAGGTTTAGGATGGGCAGATGGGCATCAGTTTCTAAACTGATTTCTAAAAAGCCTGGGTTTCATGCACAGCCCTGGAAGCAGACAGGCTATCTAACACAAGGCCAACAGATATACATACAATCTGAGAAAGAGGAGGCATGTACCACACTGTTCCATAACACAAGGTGAGGGTGGCACCAGCTAACAAGACCCCAGAGCAGGGGTGGGCAAGTCCTGGTTTTGCAGGAACAGACTAAATTAGAAGGCCCAGAAAGTCCAAATTAGCATATATGCACCTGATGAGTTACATGGACGTGTAACAAACACAGAAAGACCAACCAGCAACAGCCACAGATCAAGAGTCATCAGGAAGGAAGGACAATACAAAAGAAGGACTTTGAAGCAGCAAAGGGTTCCTCCCCATCCCTCTTCCTCCTCCTCCTCCTCCCCAAGTGGGGTCCCTGAGGCCACCATGGACAGAGGGCACACCACCAGTTCATCTCATCCACACCACGGGAGGAGGGGAGGGGAGGGGTGTAGGCTTCAGCATCCCACTGCCAGGCTGCTGACATCCAAGAGAGAGTCTAAGAGGTAAGACTGCATCCTGGTCAGATGTACTTTGACTCTGATGACAGCCCTAGGATTTGGTAGATATATAGAATTGCTTGATTGTTTGTGTTATTTCTTTTCTGTTATCACTGTGTATCGATAAGTTTGCCTACAACCATGACCTTTCCATTCGATAGGTCTGAGGGTGGATTCCCGCCCCCCTCCTAGAACAAGGTATACAAGTCCTAAATCCAGAGTCAACAGTTTCTAAAGCCCAAAGTGCATTGCAGTGCATTGCTCTGCACTCAGTCACAACAGTTAGATATAATGCAATTCATTTCCCTGCATGTGCATACCTATTCTCTATAGTAACTGTTAAGGTTTCTCTTTTTCACATAGGACCTGTAGGGAGACCTCTTTGGGTCCATCTACACTGTAGCAGAGGCATGTAACCAGAAACATGGGTGGTAGAGGGTGTACTAAAGCCCAAGGCCATTGGTGCACTCCAGACTCAGATGCTCACTAAACTGTTCTAGGCTCATCCTCAGAACTCTTCCTCTGAGGCCTGCCAGAGATTAACAGCTCAGGAATGGGCCTAAAGCAGGAGTGTCCAACTCATCAGGCCCAGAGAGCTGGTTGAGTAGCATGAGGCCACCCCGTGGGGGCCTGACTAGGCAAAAACTGGCCCTGCATGCTAGATCCAGCACACAGGGCTGTGAGTGCCCTGGATTGGTCCAGTGTGCTGCTTGCCACACTTGTGCGCATGGCATGGAGGGCCAGATCCAGCACTGGAATTGACACTGTGCCATGGGGAGCGCACACAAAATCCACAGTGCATGGGTCCAGCGTGGGTCTAGTCTAAGACTCACAGGCAGGCACAGAGGGCTGAATGATAGGACTTCACAGGCTAGATCTAGCCAGCAGGCCTTCTGACATCCTTGACCCTTGATTTGTAGGACCATGGTCTGATGGGGAAGGGAGTACAAAAAGAGTGGTCATTTCTCAAGGAAGTGATCCTTGGAATACAAAGGAAGTCCATTCTTTTTTATAAAAAAGGCAGCAAAAGGGCTGGGAGACCCCCTTGGCTCAATAGGGAAGACATGGACCTTATATTGAAAAGAGAAGCTTATAAGGGATGGAAATCAGAAATTACCACCAAAGAGGAGTACACAGCAATAGCCCGCACCTGTAGGGAGTGGATTAGAAAAGCAAAGGCAAAGGCAAAAACCAAAGTCAAATGGGCAACTGGAACCAAAGATAACAAAAAGTCCTTCTTTAGAGATGTAAGCATTTTGTAATCTTTAGAAATAAATTAAACAAAAATTATATTAATAATCATTTTTGAAAAAGAGGGTAGGAAGATTTACTGAATACATTCTCAAACATTTACATTGGAATGCTGCCCTTACACCACCAAAAAGACCAACGGTAAATAACATCTGCATGAATACTATGACAACCCTATTGTAGACTACAAGTTGGTAGACTGTGGAATGATTTAATGTTTTTTATTAAAAATAAAAGGAATAAAAAATAATACTTGAGAAAATATAGTCTCCTAGAAGTTTAAAAGGATATGATGTGAGCACTTGAGAAAATGGATTATAAATTAACTCAAGCTGATCAACTATCTTATTTATTGAAAATTTTAATATTTAGTTAATCCACTTCTGGGTTAAACAATCCAACCGATCATTAATCTCAGCATAACAGTTGGAGCTTCAGTTCAGAGCAATATGCAACTAGGTCTATCCCTCTTCAGCAAAATGCTTAAACATGTGCTTATATTTTGTGCTTTGCTAGATACAGGTGGCCTACTGAGTTAAAGCTTTCTTTTCTCTATAGTGACTAAGCAGGAATTGATAATCAGGCAACTAACTAGGAAGACACAAGAAACAAGTTTCAGGTTGGTAAATGCTTCAAAGACAATTTGGCAGAATGCAAGAGGCTTCTCAGTATACCATGGATAGCCTCGAATAAACACTGACAAAGCATAGGGTGCTTCTAAATAAGGATACCTTTTAATTAAGAAGATTAAATTACAGGAGGAGACTCTGTGTCTAACTCAAGTGTGAAAACTTAATTCAAGATTTTACTACCCTTTTTCCTCTATGGTAAATGAAAGTATTTTTTTCCCCAACTGCATTTCACCTTATCAGCTTCTCCACTAGGGAAAGGCAGGTTGCTTTAGTTTATTTAGAATCAAGTTGTCTTGTTCCTAGTTTTAGGTTCTTAACTGAAGCATTTTTAAAAATTCCTGCCATCAACTGTTTCTCTTGTGCTGCCTCCTAACAGTGTTTACAACATTAATGTAAATGTGTGTTTATATCTATTCTTATAAAACTACTCACACCTTTTGTAAACAAGCTTCAGGTCTTTCCAGTCAACAAAACTGCTCATCTTTTGATTGCGAGCCAGAATAATCTGAACAATTTCCCGTATGATCTTTTTCTTCTCTTTGTCAGGTAGTGTAGCATACCACTTCTGAAGTCTTAGCTTCCCTTGTCGGCTGAACAGCAGTATAAAGTGTATCTAGAGTAAATAGAAAAAAAACACAGTAATGCCAGTTCATACATAATTTCCCACTGAATGGTGCTTCACCTGCCATCACTACTAATAGAGAATATGGAAACTAACAAAAAACCATTCATTGCTACCAGGCATAAGGCACCTAAGCTTTCAAGTACTTCTTCTATACTGTACTCACCTAAAAGTCTTCCCTAGTAAAACTCATTCCTCCAGTAAGCAAGTGACGGTTCAATCAGATGCACAATTAGTTCATCCAGAGTTGTTAAAGACTATTCCAAATTACACCTGGTCAGGATATTTTTTTTTTTAAGTTTTTTTAATGAAAATGTTGATTTGTCAAAACACAAATGTGGAAGGGTTTTATTGCATTTTATCTTAAACAGAAAAAGGTACAAGTTTCAATTAAACTGGGTTTGGGAAGCTTCCTACAATCCATGTTAGATGATAAATCTATTCTCCTTCAGTTTGTGGCCATTATTTCTGGTAACCCCAAGGGACACCCTAATAAACAGTGTCCCCTACTCCCTGCTGACACCCTCGATGAATTTGTAGACAGCCACAAGACTGTGTCTCAGCCTTCTCTTGCGGAAGCTGAAGAGATTCAGGTCCCTCAGTCAGTCTTCATAGGGTCTTACCTATTAAGGAACTCAGCTGGAATACAAACGATCAGGTCTAAGTCTTTGCTCTTCCAAACTTGGAGTGGAGATTTCCAGTCGGATTTCCCAGATGGCTACTCTAACCACTGGGTCACAGAGTCCTCCCTCTCTCTCGACCACGTATCTATACAAAGTGGAACAGGGGAGCTTGAGAGACAAACTGACTCTTGCTCAGGGTCTTCCAGCAAACATGGTAAACATCCTTATCTACAAAATATGAATTTTAGTGTGAACTATAGATCAAGAAGTGGAAAGCTTACTGTCTAAGCCCCTGCCAAACTACTCCATGCAGGTGCATGTTCTGTGACTGTGAAGATCAGCCTGCCCTGGCCCTGTGCAGCTCTGCCTGTGAAAAGCCTTTAGTATTTGCTAGGACGCTGTCTGCAGCATGAAGATCAAGCATTTTCAGTGTTTGGGTCCAATCCCCATAAGTGCTGAATACCTTTCAACTCCTATTTAATGAAGTTTCTTGTCTGTGATTAACATAGAATTAAAGTTACCCTGAATTGCCTTGTGTCCTTCCAGACTTTTGAGTTTAGAGATCTGGAAACCTCTGAAAAACTGAATTGTAGAGTTAAAGCATAGGCCAGTGACAAAACATAGCTGCCAGGTCCTTCTTTCCCAACATCCTGTGTCACACCATGGCAGACAGTGAATGCTGAAAGGGAAAGTGAACAGAATGTGACCCAGATGTTTCCCCTGTTCCTGTCCCACTTGTAGACTCCAGCAAGTCCAGATATACTGTGTCAACTGTAATCACCCTGATCTACCTGTTGATTGTTACCTTTACTCTGCCCTCCTTGGAGCTGACAGCACCCTCCAAAAATTAGCTCACCCAGCTACATTTACTGTTTTACATACAACCGCACTGACTCATAGGAGAATTGATTCAAAGAGCAGCTTGACAAAACTGTGCCTATGATACAAGGAGATGAGGGGAGAGGAGGGGAGGGTTTCCCTTCTGCAAGCAAACAGAGGGAAGAGGCATGCGTATACTTCTGGTGATGCATCATGCCTCATTTCAGTGCTGAGCTGTGAAGGGAGTATCAGGTAGGGGTCTTGGTACCATGGGGACTGCCAGCAGTGAGATGGCAGACTAGCCTCTCTAGATTGAAACATGGTAGGTGGTAGTACAGTGTTAAGTAGAATCCTGTGGGCAAGAGCCAGTGGGCTGTCAAGTAGGGTGAAGGGCAGGGGGTAAAATATAGCAAATGTGGGGTTATTCCTGGGACATATTCCTCAGCATTTTGACCATGGAAATGTTCCTGTTTAGTACTGTTCAGTATCTGTACTGTTCAGTACAGCTCTCCTAAACTCTAGTTTGGTCATCACAACAGGAAAACATTAAATTGTCATGTGCCCCACCTGCAAAGCGCAAGTATGCGAGTTATGGGGCCACTGAGTTGCTGATCAAAGAAAGTCGAGTTAAAGTTGTTTTGGAACATACCTGAAGTCTTCATTTCATAATATTTAGACTGAAGGCACGCAGAAAGCAGGGCACGTGGCACACATGAGTAGCTTGTTCACAGATGCATAAGCTTTCATCAGTGACATCCTACTTTGTCAGAAGCATCTAATGCTTTAAGCCTTTCTGAGCAAGTTATTCCCGGGGTGCCACCCTGCCCTGATGTCTGCCTCATTTTCAGATGTCACTAGAACATTCTGGAAGGGCATGGCACGCCACAGAGCAGCCCTACCTCTGCATTAACATTTTTCTGGTAAGAGAATTTCCTTGGAGTGGAGGGGTGGGGGGTGAAAGAGGGGAAAATTAAACAGGAAGTGCTTGTTGGGAAGTTTGCCTGTCATTTAGGCAGTTGTTCTCATGTAGGTTTGTAATTCCACGTGATTATTCACTACATAATGACAGTAAGACCTAGCATGCACATAGTATTATTTGTCAGCATGTCTCAAAGCAATTAACATCAAGATTACAAAGAAATGAATGGACTCACCACAAAATCCCCTTAGTGAGATAGTGGTAAAGCTGAAATAGAGCTGCAGAGCTCAGTGCTCCCTCCACTAGGCTATATAGCTTCTCTGCGATTTCCAAGTGTTTCTCCCCCTCCTGGTTGTAGGAGCTTGGGGGCAACAGTCATACTCTGAAGGGTTGGGAGTGTGCAGATGCAAACAGGGGCAGTAGGAGAAGTTGCAGATATGGTCTATGTCAAAAAATCATGATCTAGTTGTGGATAGGACAGTCATAGTAATTAAATACATACCCACAAACTCCATGCCCCAAGACATGCATCCTAACTTTTCCAAATCACCCTCCCCTTTATAGATTTCATAGACATCAGGGCTGGAAGGGACCTCGGAAGATCATCGAGTCCAGCCCCCCGCCCAAAGGGCAGGAAGTCAGCTGGGGTCATAGGATCCCAGCAAGATAAGCATCCAGTTTCATCTTGAAGGTGTTCAATGAAGGCGCTTGAACCACCTCCGGTGGCAGGCTGTTCCAGACCTTGGGGGCTCGGACAGTAAAGTTCTTCCTTATGTCCAGCCTGAAACGGTCTTGTAGTAGTTTGTGACCATTCGACCTCGTCATCCCTTGGGGCGCTCTGGTGAACAAACGTTCCCCCAGATGCTGGTGGTCACCCCTGATAAACTTGTAGGTGGCCATCAGATCACCCCTGAGCCTGCGCTTTTTCAGGCTAAAGAGCCCCAGGGCTCTCAGCCTGTCATCGTAGGGTCTGCTTCCCTGACCTCTGATCATGCGCGTGGCTCTTCTCTGGACTCTCTCAAGCTTCTCCACATCCTTTCTGAATTGTGGAGCCCAAAACTGGACACAGTACTCCAGCTGCGGCCTCACTAAGGCCGAGTACAGGGGGAGAATGACGTCCCGGGATTTGCTTGAGAAGCATCTATGGATGCAAGCCAGCGTTTTGGTCGCTTTACTAGCCGCCGCATCGCATTGCAGGCTCATGTTCATCTTGTGGTCAATGATGACCCCCAAGTCTCTTTCTTCCATAGTGCTAGCCAACATAGCACTGCCGAGCCTATAAGGATGCTGCGGGTTTTTTTTCCCCAACGTGGAGAACCTTGCATTTATCGGCGTTGAACATCATCAGATTCTCGTCCGCCCACTTGCTGAGCCTGTCCAGGTCAGCCTGGATAACCTGCCTGTCTTCTGGTGTGGATGCTTTGCCCCAAAGTTTGGTGTCATCAGCGAACTTGGCCAGTCCACTTCTGACTCCAGTGTCCACATCATTAATGAAGATGTTGAACAGTATGGGTCCAAGGACAGAGCCTTGGGGGACCCCACTGGTCACAGGACACCACGATGAGTGACTTCCATCGATTACTACCCTCTGGGTCCGACCCCGGAGCCAATTTTCCAGCCAGCGGATTGTGGAGGACCCAAGGCGACAATTGGCCAGTTTCTCCAAGAGGTGATCATGGGACACCAGATCGAAGGCTTTTTTGAAGTCAAGATATATGACATCAATCTCTTCTCCCTTGTCCAGGTGATAGGTCACCTGGTCGTAGAAGGAAATGAGATTGGTCAAGCAAGACCCACCCGCAACAAACCCGTGCTGGCTATCCCTTAAGATGTTGGCGTCGGCCAGTCCATTAATGTACCATTAATATTATGAAATCCATTAACAAGTAAAAGGTCACACTGTCTCATACCTGGTTTACTATATGTGTACATATCAGAGGTATCCAGCTTTTTAGAGAGTCACATACCTCCTTTGTACATCCAAGACATACACCAAGCCAGGCCCTTTGTCCCTCATTGTGTCCTCCCAGTCCTTCTCCCTCCCCCCATTTTGTCCAGGACACCAAAGCCATAGCATGGACCCACCTATATGGCTTTCCTTCTGAAGTGCTGCTTCATTTGGTGTATCATGGCTTTCAGAGGCATGATCTTGTATTGTGTTCAAGACTACCCCCTTATGTGTGGGGTCACAGAGAAGGGATGAAACACCACCCCCGCTCTCCAGGAGCATGCCCTCCATAACATGTGTACAGGAAAGTAGAGTTCAGGACTGTCAGGCCCTGCTCTCTATTTGCTTTACCACCTACACACACTTCCATGTCCACATCCTTCTTACTCACCCTCAAAGTCCTTTCCTCTTCCAAATTTCCCACTCCTTTTATTGCTTCTCATAATCAGTCCCCTACCCCTTGCCACAGCCCTAGCCCATTCCCCATCATATTCTCATCCCAGTCTTCTACCCCCAATACTCCTTCACCGTCAACAAGCATTCATGTGTAGTTATGTGCTTTAGGAAAATAGTGCGAGTGCTTTACGAATGTTCCGCTAGACTTGGATGATATTCCCGCACCTCCCCAAAACACTCCCCATCCCTGATAGAAGCAGTTTTCACTAAACCATTGCCATTTTCATACCAAGAGTAGGCTTCAGACTTGCATTATCAAAGTATAGGTCAAATTGAATGCCCACAACATACATCTCCATACCAATCAGACCATATGAAATTAGACTGGCTGGAAATGAATTTTGCCTAGTATTTCTACACGAGTGTGCATGCATGCACACACAGAGCAATCTTTTCAGTATGCACCAATTCAGGGAGCCAACCTACTGTGCTTCAGAGGCAGGGGGTGCTAAGGACAAGCTGGCATAAATGCTGAATAACTGAGATCAGTGAGGGGACAATCAAAGCCAATGTTGGAGACTCAGATGTGTGAAGAAAAAATGATAGAGTCCACTAACTTTATGAAAAAGGAACCGGATGCATCTCAGCAACCTATTGCCCAAATGATGCCAAACTTGGAGCACTATACTTAACCTCCCCTCCACACCTCCCCCTCCCCCCCAAAGCAGCACAGAAAGTTCAATGTAATGTGAAAGAATTTAAAGTTCAGAGCACTTAGACTCAAATCATCATACATAGGAACAGCTTTTCATCCTTAACTATAGTACTGCTAGTAGTTCACTATAATATTGTGCAAGATTAAACATTAGCATTTGTTTTGCTATGCCAGGATCCCTAGGACAGGATAACCAAGACAGTGTGGATGGAAGGAAGGAGCTCTACACATCCTTCTATAGCACAGAAAGCTAACAAAAGTGTGAAGTGGTCCGTTCATCTCAATGCAATATTCTCAGCTAAATGAGAACAAAGACCCAATGGACAAGACTTCATCTTCAAATAAAAGCCAAGACATTTACTGCTTCACACATCTCACCAATATTCTCATCCTCACTCCTCCTTGCTGTCACTGCCTCAGATGCAATGACTTGGATCAAGCCTGCCTGTTCCCATCTCTTCACTCTAGCCCTCACACTGTGTATTAGGAGCATGCAGCCAGCATACCTGCTCTCAGCTCCGCGCACAAACAGAAGCAGGATCTCTAAGGATACCAGCACACATGGAAGCCAGTGAAAGGAATTCAAAATCTCTTATGTGTTGGGGGGCCCTATTTCTGGATCGCACACAGGGGAGAAGGGAATACAAGGCTAACAGGTCATTTTCCCTCCAATTACCCTATCATCTTTACCCATGCCCCAGTAACACCCTTCCTCTCCCCAGCCAGTATCCCAAACTCCTCTCCACATAATTCATTTGATTCCTCTACCCCCTGGCTTGAATCCCTGCTGAGGGGATTGGGGATGGTAATAAGGTTTGCCATTACAATTAGAATTAAAGAATTGCAATTAAGTATTTTATTAAAATATCTATATGGAGAGAAGTCCAGTACATTACCAAACACATGTAACAAAAAGAAGTGCAGCAAAATGTCTATTAAAAAAAATAACACTCCTAATTTCTCAGCAGCTGGATTTTAAACAAAAAGTTTATTCATAGTTCAGAAGTTCTCTGTGGCTAATAAAAACATTTAAATATTTTATAAAGAACAAAGCTCAGTAGGAGGGAAACCACTTTTTTGTGGGTTCTTAATTTTAGAATAGTTTGCTTAAATATTTAAAAGTAAATCACACCAGCAGCCAGAGAGATAGCTGTGTAAGACAATTCAAGATATAAAAATAAAGTCTCACTGCTTCTTCTAGCTGTAAATATTTGGGAAGTGGTAATAAAGTTGGCTTAGTGCACATACAATTATATATTCAAATTGTGTGTGTGGGCGTGCACATGGAAGAAACAATTTCTCTAAGGCTATTTATATGTATTTCTTTTTCTTATGGAAAATATACTACATCTTATTTTTTTCAGTTTTTATTTCGCAAATTAGCTGAGCTACAGTTCATTTGTGTTTGTTATGTTTTATAGGGGGGAAACCAATGGCTTCAAGGGATCTAACTTTGTAAAGCTCTTTATGGTGGGTTGTTTTGAAGAGTCCCTCCTATTTTCTGAGAGGTCAGACACTTCTCCAGAGCACTAGATTCACAAAGCAGCATGTAAATGCACATTCCCATCCTTGATACTGCGAGGTGAGTTATCTGGAAACTAAGACTTATGAATTAAGCAGGAAGGCTCCAAAAATGTAATATTTTTTCTGCAAAGTTAAATGATCCTATTCATACATGTTTATGGCAGGATGAGTCAAAATCCAGGAAACAGCCTTTGTGATTACAATATTAAATTCACCTGACAAAATTCTGAGGATTGTGTAACTGCCTAGAATCTAGTAGTTTAATTGCAACCAGATGAGTTGGCTAAATGAAAAATATCAAGCTTCAAGGTTGGCAAAAATAGCCTGATTAAAGGGAAGATTGATGCACAATGTCCCAGCCCTTCTATTTGTGCTACCAACTTGTTCTGCCCTGATGATACTACAGTTGTCAAGGCTACCCCCCCCAGCAGATTAAGATACAGCTCTTCTTGTACATATACTTGTCTGCTGACTCAGGAGTCAGGTGAGTATAAAGGGTTGTTTTGCCAGCTACACAGCATGGTACCTCTACAGCTTTTGTTAAGATAATTGTATTTGCAAAAGCACAGAATCAACTCTCCAGAGATGAAGGCAGC